GATTTGAGGACTTTTATTACCTGTGATAAGGCCTCGTATGCTTGTGGAAGAGTGTGAYTTCCAGACAGAATATCGTCTACATACGTTTGAGTTTTCAACACTTCAGTTGCCAGAGGAAATTCTGACTTTGTGTTGTCTGCCAATTCGTAGAGTGTTCGAATGGCTAGATATGGTGCACAGTTGACGCCAAATGTAACTGTTTTTAGTTTGAAGTCGCGTAAAGGACTGGTGGGGGATTTTCGGAACATAATACGTTGAAAATCTTGGTCATCTTTATGTTCGACTATTTGGCGATACATTTTGTCAACGTCCCCATTGAATACGTATTTGAATATACGCCAATTTACTATCAAAAGCATTAAATCTGGTTGGAGTGTGGGTCCCGTAAATAAGATATCATTTAGGGAATTCCCTGAACTGGTGGTTTTCGAGGCATTAAAAACAACTCTTACCTTTGTTATTTTTTTGTCTGGCTTTACTACTGCGTGATGCGGCAGATAGAAGGAGTAGTATTTGCCGTTGGCGATTTTCTCCCCTGGGTTTACTTCCTCCATATGATTTAAATGGAGGTATTCTTCTAACAAGTAGGTTTCTTTCCATACTTAAAAACTGCTGTATTGCAGAGGTGCGAGARTGACCTAGGGCGAGTGTGTTAGGAAATTGTTGTTTAAGTGGTAGTCGTACGACGTACCGACCATTTTCCGATCTAGTAGTTGTGGCTTTGTAAAAGTCCTCACAATACTGATCTTCCGGGGTTGTGACTGATATGGGGGGGGGAGTTCTTCTAATTCAAAAAATTTTCTCAATTGTGAATTAAGGTACTCGTTTGAGACTTCCTCAACTTGAGTTGTCAATGTTGTAACTGGTCCCGCAAATAGTCCAATAGGACCCATCCGAAAATGGTATTTTGCGCCAGAAGTGTATTTGTGATTTTCTCAATACCTTCGAGTATTATCTGTGGTATGAGATCACTGCCTAATAGAAGATCTATTTGAGCGGGGGTGTTGCAGTTTGGGTCGGCTAGCTTTAGGTGTGTAACCTTTTGCCAATGCTTGCTATTTATGTGATAGCTTGGTAGCATATTGGTTAATTGCGGTAAGACAATAGCTTCTGCTTGTTTGCGCTTATGCGCTTATCCACTCGCTTATTCCCGTGATTTCAAAATTGGCCAGTTTTGTTGGCAACTGTAGCCTGTGTTGTGCCCTAGACGCTATAAATGATCTTTGTGATCCTTGGTCTATTAAGGCTCTGAGTTTAAACAGTTCTCCTCGGTGTTCGATGGAGACAACTGCTGTGGGTAATAGTACCCTATTATGATTTTCGCTATGTAGCGTTTGGATTTTTACCGCCTTTGAGCGGCATGGTGCTTTTTGGCAGTTTTCAGAATTTGTTGTGGCAACTAAACCTGTTGCTCTTGTTACGTTTGCGCTTTTTGGGGGTGAGCTGGAAAAATTGGTTATATGTAACAYTGAATGATGTCTTTTATGGCAATAAACGCAATTAAATTTGCTTTCGCAATCTTTAAGCGTATGCGCATGTGACAAACAGTTGATACATAGTTTTTTCGTTCTTACGAAATTGTTTCGATCGCTAATATTAATTCTTTTGAATTTTCCGCACGATTTGAGTTTGTAACCTCCTCTACAAAGTTCGCATGATGTTTTTTTATATTGTTCGGATGTGAACGTTTGATTTTTAAAAAAGCTTCTATTTCAATTATTGTGGCTACTTGCTTGGGGTCTATTGAAGCTTCTATTGAGGTCGATTTGAACGTTTTTCGGTCTGACTATTTTTTTTAACTACTCTTTCTGCAATTTCATACTGGGTAGTAAGAAATTCTTTCATTTGCTGCCACGTTGGGCACTTTCTTCGCGATGAGAGCGATTGCTCCCACAAAAGTAACGATTTTTCTGGTAATGCAGCCTTGCATATATTTACCAGAAAGGGGGTCCCAATTATCTGTGGAAATAATTTGAAACCGTGGGTTGAAGCTTTATGAATTCTTCACTGGTTTCTTTCTGAATTTTGGTAAATTCATTAGTATCGTCACTTGCTTATAGACCAATGTTCTCTCGTTTTCGTAACGTGCTTTTAGTTAGAGCTTCCCAAGCAAAATTAAAATTTTCGTCATTGAGAGCGAACTGTTTAACTATTACGCCTGCCTGACCTTGGTTTTGTATCTAAGCTGATACAATTTTTGTGCATTAGATAATTTTGGGTGGTTGATGTAAACGGCTGTGAACATGCCCCGAAAGGACGGCCTGATGTGATGATGATGTGGTGTGAAATGAAGATGTGGAGTGGAATGATGATGGGGTGAATGTAATGTGTGTGGTGTGGAAGTGTAATATTGTGAGGGGGCTCTGAGACTCATTTAGCCATGAACAAAGAACATGAATCGGTACTGAAATAATAATTTTTAAACTAAAAGTCAATGCAAAATTCAATGTAAGGAACGCGATACTTATTTCTTCTGCACAATGAAATAACTTAATAAATAATTAATTCAACGTATTAAAATTGAAAAATCGCACAAAATTTCACAGCCAAAAAAATCAAAGCTTGAAGTTTTGACTTTTTATCAGGTTGTATGTCCTTCGTGAAATGAGTCCCCGCACCTTTTTGCATGCTCAATGAGTCCCACTCTTCTAACACTTTTCTCCTATAGTTCGATTCGGCCGAAATATCCTAGATCTTGCGTTAAGTGTCTTCGATGACAATCTGATTGAACACTACCATCTAAATGGGGATTAGATACCTCCTACAACAACAATAACATTTTGAAGATGTTAATGGACATTTCGCAAAAGTTCTTATTTACCTGAAAAAAAAAATTGCGAATATATCAAATTCTCGACACTAAATTTTTATTACACAGTTTCAATTATAGTTAGATTTACGAACATTGATCAGATTCCCATTCATGCCTATTTTTAGTTAGCATGGAAAGCAAACAAGAAAATCTAAAATTTTTGTCGAACAAACCTTAAAATTGCGATTAGTTCCAACCAAACTGTTAAAAGCAAATGAACCTACCAACTTTGGTTCAATCAGATTGAAATTTCAACTCTGGTCAGGACATACAGATACACATCAAAGAGATGTTTGGAGTGCCCAATATTTAACTTGTTTCAGTCGATGATTGCATCGTCTGCAGTTGGTTTTTCTGATTTCTTGAAAGACAACTGGCAAAAAATGGTTGCGCACCTTCCAAAATTTACTGTTCTACGTTTTTCTGGTGAAATGGGTGCGACAATTCCAGTGTTTCCACATTAAAAAATAACAATTTGTTTCGAAGTGATTTTTGTGCAAACAGCTTTTGTAGAGACCCAAACAATCGAATGTTTCTTTTCGGGCTTATACGTTTTATTAACATTTCTCTTGACCAATCGAAACGAGGCTTTTTTTGAAGTAATCGACAAATTGTGTGGAATCCAACGTGAAAGCAAAATGTAAATCAAGTGTTCATGTAATATTAAATATAAATATGTTTGCCTCTCAATCTTCCGATCTTGCACCATCAGTTTGACCACAGCATCAATAGTTTCCAGAACAACAACTGATTTTGGACGACTTTGACGAAACTCGTATTGGAATGATCCACAAACTCGATTGAATTCGCCATACCATTAATAAACATCAACTTTAAAGTCAAAACTTTAAGGAAGTTTATTCATGCACTGTTGCTGTTCGTGAAAATGATTAATTACATTTATTCTCGAATGAATATTTTAAGTTATTCTAAATAATACAAATAGCGATCATATGGTAAAACCTTCTGAGTATGTATGTATTACATCAAAAATGTGAAACTTTATGATAAAGTTGTGAGTTGTTGTTAAGAAATTTTTGTTCAGTTATCGTTTGTTATAATCGTTGGTAATTGAAAAGACAGCCTAGAATCACTATTGGTAGAATGGGAGCGGGTCGCTTCTCCCTTATCCTCTTGTGTTCTACTACTGGATAGCTGAGCTTCGCGGAAACTTGGCAAGTGCTGGGCCCCATCGGTAATTGCGCAGTCGTAAAAGGCTTCTGACCCAAGATTGATCGCATTAGATCGAATGATCTTTTTGCACCTCAGTAACGCTAGCCTCTCCCTAGTTGTGGGGCTTTTTACGGGCCATTGCCCAATAGACGTCCATGCTGTATGGTTGGAAATCTCACCAGACGCCGTTTGCAGAAGCTATTTAGAAGAAGATGAGGTAGAAAGATCTCAAAACTTCTGTTTTGACTGCCCCGCGTTTGGGAGACCAAGCCTTAAACATTTGGTAGCGCATATCTTCAGACATCCCATCGAACCTGTGGGAGTTGAAATTAAGCGTATTTGCAAATTTATATTGGCTACTAAGTGTTTTGCCAATTTGTATGTCCAAACACAGGAGTTCTTATTTTCTGTGGCTACATATAACAGTCCACATGCGATCATAGATCACCCTCTACCCTTACCTAACTTATCGTTTGCTTGTGAAACAATTACCTTTTCGAGATGGATAAGAACTAATAAAGATCCGACTGTCATGATAAATTGAATTTCGTATGTCGGTCTGTCTATCCTCGCAAGCAAGAACTTGTTTACCTTAGCAAGAATAGAAGTATATGTGGAATATATAAAGCGACTCAATTTACAAAAACGATATTGAGTACAATGTGGGTGTCAATAGGTTTAACGTTAATATCAAAAAATAATGAAGCTTAGTTGTACCCAGACTAAATCATTCCTTACTTGTTTTATTTATTTGTAATTGATATATCGTGCATCAATAAAAATATACTACAACTTGAATCTTAAAACTGTCGATTCTGGATTATTATGCTCTTTTGGTACCACTTTTTTAATGTCCAAAAATTCACAATGCTATGAATCGTATATTTTTACAACGTTTTTGATAACTTATACTGGATTATCTGAACTTATGATAACTAATTTTACATTATCTGAATTATAATGTTTAAACTTTGGTTGAAAAATATTTACAAAACTGATATTAAAATATTTTCAGGCTTGCTATTTGAAAGCGATTGAGACATGTCCCGGTTTTGCTGTAGCTTGGAGCAATTTAGGTTGTGTTTTCAACGCTCAAGGAGAAATTTGGTTGGCAATACATCACTTTGAAAAAGCTGTAACTCTGGATCCGAACTTTCTGGATGCGTACATAAATTTGGGAAATGTTTTGAAGGAGGCAAGAATTTTTGACAGGTAGGCTTCTTTGGAAAATATTGATAAATAACTAAAATAAAAAGTCAACATCCCAACCAACGTCATACTATATAATCAAAGATCTCTTTCTCTGGTAATAATATGTTAGGATGTCAAAAATTGATAAAATATTGACAGTACTAACTCTAACCGAAAATTTTAAACTTCCTGTTGGCTTTATATCGTTTACATTGATTATGTACAAGATGACTTAGCAGAATTAAGTGAACTTTTTATTCTGGATATACTATAATTTACTACCCGAAAAATTATGAAATTGGTTCACGAATTCGGTATAAATTATCTTCACAAATTTTGGCGAAAACATGATTTCGAGTATACATGAATAATATTCAGCAACCTTCCATCAACGCCAATATACAATATATAGTAATTTATGATTTTCCTGACTCTAAACTGTTATGTCGGTCAATATGTTTTATATTTTGATGAAATTAGGTGGATAACTCGTTTTCCTCTTATTAATAAATATCACATACATATATCTCTTCTTAATTGGCGCAGACACCGCTTACTCGATTATAGCCGAGTTAACAACAGCGCGCCAGTAGTTTCTTCTTTTCACTACGTGGCGCCAATTAGGTATTCCAAGTGTAGCCAGGTCCTTCTCCACCTGGTCCTTCCAACGGAGTGGAGGTTTTCCCCTTCCTATGCTTCCCCCGGCGGGTACAGCGTCGAATACTCAGAGCAGGAGTGTTTTCGTCCATTCGGTCAACATGACGTAGTGCGCGTAGCCGCTGTCTCTTAATTCGCTGAACTATGTCAATGTCGTCATATATGCGATGTTAGGTGCGATGTTAGGACCTCGGAGCGCTCACACAGCTAAAACACTGTAGACGTGTCTCCAGTCTATCACAACATGATCGACCTGGTTGGTGGCTTTTCGATCCGGAGACAGCCAGGTAGCTTGATGAATCTTCTTATGCTAGAATCTAGTACTACAGATAACCATATTTCGGGCCCCGGCGAAGTCGATCGGCCTCAACCCATTTGGGGATGTTTCGTCATGGAGGCTGAATTTACCGACCGTAGTGCAAAAATACCTTCTTTGCCCACCCTGGCGTTAAAGTCGCCAAGCACGATTTTGACATCGTCGCTGGGGCAGCTGTCATAAGTGCGTTCTAAGCACTCATAAAAGGCATCTTTGGTCACATAGTCCTTCTCATCAGTCGGGCGTGGGCGCAAATCAGCGATATGTGGAACAACCTCGCTTTGATGCGGATTGTGGCTAGACGTTCATTCACCGGAGTGAATGACAGTACTCGGCGACGGAGTCTCTCTCCCGCCACGAATCCCACACCAAACTTGCGCTCCTTTATATGGCCACTGTAGTAAATGCCACAAGGACCTACTCGTCTCTGTTTTTGTCCCGTTCATCGCATTTCTTGGACGGCGGTGATGTCAGCCTTTATTTTCACGAAATCAACCAACTGCTCAGCGGCACCTTCCCAATTAAGGGACCGGACATTCCAGGTGCATGCCCTCAATTCGTAGTCCTTATTTTGTTTGCCATGGTCGTCATCAAAAGGGGGGTCTCTCATCCGAGGCTGGTTTTTCCTTTTCATTGGAGATGTGTTTTTACGTGGCGGATCCCAAACCCAGCGCACAACCCTGCGGAGCGGATATATCGTTTCTGGCCACTCCCAATATATGAAATCTCATTTAAGTTAATTCGCTTGATCATAATATATAATGAATATCTGAGACATATTCAAAAATATTACATTCAAAATATAAAAGTTAAGCTAAGTGAGTTTACGACCTAATGTATACTATAAGCCAACAAAATACAAAATATGATAGTAACACAGTTCATGCATAAATTCGCAGAATAGCGAATATGAAATATTTCGCAAAGTCTTATTTGATTTTTGCCAGTACTTGAAAATATGCCTAGGGATTTAGCCTTCGGAAATTGCGAGAATATAAAATTTTCGGTTATACCCGCAATTAATTGTCATTTAAAAGATAGCTAGAAAATCGATTTGCCATTCATTGGTAAATGTACAGTATCGTCATCATGTATACTGCGCACTAGTTGGTGCACGCATGTGATCTAATTATCTATAGCGGAACGATGTCTTGTGTAACTATAATAATGTACTATTTTTTGTTCATGTAGTATATCAACGAAATTTAAAAAAATCGCTTTAATTTCGGTTGCGCCCGTGCATTTTTGTGCTTGGAATGAAAACAATCGCGTGAAAACTTACCGTAGCCCTTATATACATAACTAACCAGCCTTATGTGTCTGAGCGTATTTCCCAGGTTTTAGTATTGTTGTAAGAGTACGAAATTTTCGGTTATACTCGAACTTAGCTCTTCCTTACTTGTTTTTTAGAGGTACCGTCCACGTTTCATTGTGGCTGATACATAGATAGTACTACTAATACCATCTATATGATTTCTATTAGTTAAATTATAACTATTATTTAAGGTGATATAGCATTTTTTGTGAAGCAACTTGTGTTGGTTTACAAAGAAATTAATCAAAAAGCATTTCGTGTGTCAATAAAGCATTGCTTTTTGTGGTAAAATACTGTTGAATTTGGGCTGTGCATCAGTGAAATCAGCTGAGTCAAATCGACAGTCAGCCTAGTGGACTGCATTTTAAGAAACGGCTCGGGTGGCAAGGACATTGCATCAATCTTTTGAGATGCTCGTGGTATATTATTCGTGAAATGTTTACTGAGCCAGTTTTAATCCATTGGTATTTCTTATTTGGTTGCAGTGCTGTTCTACCATTCCCAATATTTAACAATTTTAATATTTTTTATTAAGGATCAGTTTGAAAATGCACGAATATAATTCATCGTTCCCCTTTAAATATTGCAATCTCCTGTGCAATAATTCGAAAATATTTCTGTATATCTTAAATTATAATAGACCTTTTTATCTGGTGTAGACAGGTTATTCCCCTATATTTTTATGTTAGATATCGCGTTTGGTTTATTATGAATGCATTTGCTCTCCATAATATAGCAAAATATCCGCGATGCCTTGACGACGAAGATGCCAATGCCATTTTTTTGTGATATTAAAAATATCTGATGGGTTTGTCATAACAAAATTTTCTGGTTCGGGAGCAAAATCAGTATAACCCATATACTAAGGATGTAGAAATATGACAATTTTTACTTATTTCTTTATATTTTTGAATTACTAAAATTTTCAAATGATTATTGCCTGATTTTGAACAATGCCTATGATTTTAAATATAATTTTTGCATTTATGAATTGTATGGACTTTTAACATAAAGATATAAAAAGTATCCTACGTCCTTACCCTGGTTTTAAGCTATGTACCTCCCCACCTATTTTCAGCCAAATCGGTTCAGTCGTTCTTGAGTTATAAATGGTGTAACTAACACGACTTTATTTTATATGTATCGATGATTAGGATGACGAGACTTGTTGAAATCCGGATGTCTGTCTGGAAAAGTAGACCTGGCCCTCCTCTAATAGGTTTAGTGTACATATTTTCTAAACCACTAAAGCTACAACATTCACAATCGTCTTTATATGAGTTCATACCGACAGTGAGAAAATAGATTGAATGTGATGATAACCCGACCCACACCCCACATAACGGTGATAAATTATAACTAAATACGCCAGAGATGTTAAAGTTAACCCTCGCCTTTGTATGGGAGCGGTTTGAAGGAGCCGAGGTCAAAATTGGGCAATGAATGCGCCAACCACACTCTTTTAGGTGAAATGGCATATCTTGGGACTTCCTCTACCGATTTAAACCCAATTCGGTACCTCACATTATTTCACATTCCTATGCTACAGAGTATAAGCGAGCGAAATATTTCAATATAACACAATTTTAAATGTTATTTGATTCTTTCCCTTTTGAGTATACAAATCAATAAACAAGAAATAAACGAAATAATGCTTTGCACGAATAGTGTCTTTGAAGTATGCCACCTTATGACTAAAAATTGTGCAAAGGTGTGAACCCCGTACCTTTCAAATCTGACTTGAATCCAGTCAATACATCCCTTAGTCCTCATATGCCTAATTTAAAGATTTTTGAACTTCCGGGTGACTATACAAACATGTATCAATGAAAATGATAGAGTATGGTTTACCCCTAACAGTATTATCTTGGGCGTAAAATGGATAAATCAGGTTAAAATTTAACCTAGACAACTAACTAACAAACATTATGTACCTGAAGGTATTACCCCGGCTTAAGTTCTTGTAAGTTGCAAGAGTATGAAATGTTCAGTTAAACCTGAACTTACTCCTTCCTTACTTTTTTTATATTAGTATGAGAACCCATTTGCATCAATTTCTATAGCTCATGACTTGAGTGCACTAATTTCAATAGTAGTACTTTGCAGAAGAAAATTTAAAAAAATCCAAATGAATAACTTATTTGTAGTTTGGACAAAATAACCTACTTTCTTATGGCTCCTCCATTTTCCCCTTTGAGGGAAGAGAAAGTGCCCACTTAACAACGTTTGCAAACATGGAAACTAACTAGATGTGTTATTGTTGCTTTTACAGAAGCCTGCGAAAGTTGTAGAATCGAATCGAAAATGTTGAATTGAGTTAAAATCATGTATGCACAATATTAAAGAATTATGATAGTGACACAAAAAGCAAGAATCAAATTGAAACATTTTCTGGAGTGTGCACAAATAAATTCTCCATATGAATCAACATTCGTTATTGTGAATCGATTACATTAATAATTGATATATTTTTATCTTTACCTAAATGAAATATATTTACCTTAAAATCATCCCTATTAACAAAAATAACTAAGTATGTTCAACATAGAGCTGTAAGATTGTACAGTTGTGTTGAAAATAATAATAGTGTTAAGAAGTCAATATAATTTCTTATTTTACATATTATATGGGTTTTACATATAGGTTAGGTTAGGTTAGGTTAGATGACTGATCAGAGATCACACGTGGAGTGATAAATGTAGTCCTTTGTGAATCCATTTAAAATAATTACGC